GGATCAAGGACACATCGAAAACCTGCAGGACTCTCGAGGCCTGGGTTTGGACACCACTGGTATAGACAAACCACCCAAACTGGACAACAGAAGACTGGAATAAACTGACTCGTCTGATGAGCCTCAGTTTCTGTTAGTGTAAACAAAATTCAAGCTTGATCCTGCAACAGTTCAGGCTGGTAGTGGCAGTGTAATGGTGTTTTAGTATTTTTTCAATAATTCTGCATGAAAAAAAGAAAAAAAATCTTGGTTCTTCATGATGAAGCTTGTCTCAGATCAGCTTTACAGCCTAAATGTGTGCAACTGTCCTAACCTCATCGAACTGCTTCTCCTAAACCCTGCTGCAAATAAGGACTTCTCTCCGTGTGTGAAACAACAGTTAAAAGAACTGTCTATCATTCAGTGTTAATAAATAAAGATAACTGCAGATTAAGAATGATAAAAGTGCAGTCAGTACATTTAGAGAGACATTACACTAAATGAACACACATGGTAAGTAAATCTGTATAGCCCACTCCAATGTTTTGGTTGTGGTGTGCGTCTGTGTGTGTGTGTATTTGTGTGTGTGTGTGGGTGTGTGTGTTTTGGCAGCACTCCCAAGGCTGATGTTGATAAAGTGCGACCACGAGTCCCCAAAGGAGAAAAAGATGGAAAAATGCCAGTGTACAGGCATATTTTTTCCCCATCTCGCTCTTTCCAATGCTGCATATTTTTTCTCACTTCCTCACTACCCACCCTGTGCTTCTCTCTCTTTCTGTGCTCTCTCTCCTAACTCTTACCAAGTTTCTGTCTCTCTCTCTCTCTCTCTCTCTTACACACACACTTAAACACAGAAAAGCTGCGGTACATGTGCTCATGGTGTTTTGACAGTCTTACAGTTCTGGGAATTGCCGAGTAGTTTCTCGGAGATCTACGCAGTCTGGATGAAAATGTACCAGAGGATGAAATCAAGCTTTGAGCACTAAAGTACACCACAGGCACTATTTTGATGAAAATCACAACATTATGACAGATAAACTGCCAACCACAGAAACATTTCAAGACTTTATATCCTGGGATTGGTAAACATCTGGATAAAGTGCAATGTAAAGTATATTCAAAAATACCGAGTAAAAACAGAGCTACTTTTTCCTCATTGGTGAAAGGACAGTTTGTTTTGGTTTGCGGCACTTGAACCGAAATGTCAGCATCAACAGCTTGCTCGAGAAACTGCAGCAGCACAGTTATGAGAAGCCACAGACCTCATATGAACAGTGTCAGTGAAAGCTATTTGCTACCAAAGCGCACCTTGCAAATCGCCGTCTCCGTGCAGAAGGAACACATCCAGAACTTGTGGAGTGAAAGGAAAGGAAGAGGATGTAAACACAATGGCTACGCTAGCAGCAGTTGTGGTCAGAATGCAAGGAAGACACCTAAACATGTGACCTTTAAGAACGCTGTGTTTACATCCTTCAGAGTGCACCTACTCTACAACTTCTGGAGCGTTTCCATATGTTCACTGAGCCAGCAAACTGGCAAAACAGCGTGATAGCGACTGCTGCCAGGCTTTTACGATCATCCAAACATTTCTGTGTTCTGACCACCTCATCAAAAGCGGACAAATCTGAAACCAGCTTCACTTATTTTAAAGGTGTGTTGAAAGAGAGAGTAAGCAATGTGAGCCCTGCTTACTTTTGCACGGCAGCACATCTGGCAAAGGCCTGTGTGGTGTGGGTGTGCTGGCTCTTGGCTTTTGCAGAGCTACAAACATTTCAGTTCAGAAGATTGCTTTGTTCAGATTCATTGTCGGGTTTAAGATAATAAACAAGTGGTTACGTTTATGGAATTATGTTTTAAAAAGGACAGGCTATTAACAGCTTTCTCTTGGGTTGAAGTCCAATGCTGCAGGGCATTCACCCCCCCCCCCCCCCCGAGCCTAAATTATGCCATTACTTATAAAAATAGGAACAGGTTTTGCTATTGTTATGATTTCCACATGATTTATTATGTATTTTGTGGCATGGCAACAAAACACACCACATTTATTCAATAACAGATAATTTCCACTAGAGGGTGTCAAAACCACAGTGTTTATTACTGCATAGCATTACAGCACTGGGTTTGTGGCTTGACCGTGGCCATGTCATGCTTTACCATGATCTATGCAATAGTTTTTGCCTGTGATAGATTATAATAGTAATATCATCCTGAGAGGAAGAGATGAGCCTGATGAAGATGGTTTATATATATAACCAACAAAAGATCATCACATTGAAGACTAACTGCTTCCTAAAAGCATTCGTTCAACACATTGCTCAGAGGTTTTGGTCCATATTGACATGATGTTATCACACAGCTGCTACTACAGGTAGCATACATGATACAAGCCAGGATCAAGCACCGCTTGCATGTTGTTTACATCAGCAGAAACTGACACTCATCCAACCACTTAATATTTTTCAAATCTTCTGCTGTCCCAGTTTTGGTGGATTGTCCTTGCACACTGTAGCCTCAGCTTCCTTTTTTTTTAGTTCACTCTGTGTGGCCTTCTGCTGCTGTAGCCTATCTGCTAGAGTTGGTCTCTGTCTCGAGACCACTTTTACCTGGTCTTGGTCTTGTCTTGGTCTCGTATCCCTCGGTCTTGGTCTTGGTCTCGCTGTCTCGGTCTTGCTGTCTCAGAGCGACATAGTGGTCGGGAGATTTGGAGTCAACAGTATCCATGACACACAGCGTTCGATAATGTGTCATGCACAAAAGCATCAGCTCTAAGAGCCGTGCTTAGAGAATGCTTTGTAGTGAATCAGAAGAGTCGACTCCCATTGAGCGAGCGCCGGCTCCTCACTTCATTTCCTTTCGCTGCTCAGCTCTCACACAGTGGCTCAGCTATGCTCCGATCCCTCCATATTGTGGCCAATCACATGCGAGGATATAGGATAATATCATTATGTCAAAAACAGAGAGGGTGAGAGACGCGACAGTCAAGTGGAGCGTGCGTCTGTCCTCTCAGTAAGTGAGTGACTCAGTAGACAGCGGTGAGGAGGGCTGTGCGAGTGCATCGCAAAAACACATAAATATGCCTGACACCCGTAAACAAAGCAGCATCTGGCTGCAGTTTAAAGACTTTTAAGTCTCTGTCTCAGTCTTGGTCTCGTCTCGACTTTGTCTTGGTCCCGATACCCTCTGGTCTTGACTCCGACTGTCTTGGTCTTGGTTTAGGCAGTCTTGACTACTGTCTGCTTCAAGGTTCAACATGGTGTGAGTGTTCAGAGATGCTCTTCCGCATACCGTGGTTGTAACGAGTGGTTATTTGAGTTACTGTTGCCTTTCTGTAAGTCACTACCATGTAACTTGCTGGTTGCATTAAAGGCCATTTAAACCTAATGAAAGGCCTTGTGAGTGTGTCTATAAAGTCAGATACTTGCTATAACCCTTCTTAATGCACATGTATATGGAATATACATGGCTTAAAAGCTGAAATTAATATCAGTCGCAATTGGTTGGTGATTATAAAAACAGACGCGGCGCAAACAGAGGAGCTGAAGTGTTAACAATGGCTGCACATGTGCAATGTCAGCGCTGTTTATTTTGGAGCAGCAAAGCACATTAAAGCACAGTGAGGTCATGAGGTGCAATGTGCCCTTAGTGTGAATATGACTGACTTCATTTATGTGATCTATGTCTTCCCTAAGTGCATTTCTCTTTCTATGCAGGCTGAAGAAAAACAGATTTATGGTACACATGCATACACACAGCCATCCATTTGCGAACAGAGCACTTTAGTATATAGATAAGTCTCATGTAATCCAATATGTGCATCTGCAGTCTGTGTTCTATAGCAGGACAATTAGATCTAGAAAATTTTAGCCCTTTATATGTGCTGTGAGTCATACAGTAACGTAATGATGCCTCATGTTTTCATTTCTTCTCATCTCACTGCACACGTTCACTATTGCTACCTTTATAAAGATGGTAATGCACATTCTAAGCTCTCCAAATAGTGTAATAGTGTAATTAAAACCTGAACCTTAAAACCAAATCCAAACCTCTGAATAGTCCTTTAAAGGAAAGGAAAGACCACTCAATCTGTCCTCGCCTTAATGGTTTAAATCTCAAATAGGTCCTCATAGCAATGATTATTCAAGTAAACACAGACACACACACAGACACACACACACACACACACACCGTTTTTATTGCCAAATTGCCAAAACCACGAAACCAGGCCGATTCTTCCTTTTCTAGTCAAACTCATCTCCTGCTGCTCTACCAAATCATTGTCCTGGGGAGATAAGAAGATTTGCAGTAACACAGAAGCACAGAAAACCGTACATCAACACACATGCACACAATTTCAATTTATGAAACATGAGCCACAAACTGCCTAATGCACTTCTTCTCTTGCAGTTCTCAAACAGTTAATTTGTCTGTTAATAGATTGCATAGAGTATCAGATGAACTCAATATACCAACTTTCCCACTCCTCATATCTCTGGTTTTCCTTTGGTTGCAAATATTGAATATGATAAATAATATAATAGATTATTCTGTAACCGTATCCTTGGTCTGTACTGCCCTCTTGTGGCCAGTTACTTGTTAGAGAAAATGATGTTCAGTACAGTATTTGTCTTAGCTCTTTATATTTGTTGATTAATTGTTTGGGGGTGAGATGAGTGTTTGAACGCTACTGAGTTAAATTTTTAATAATTTCTGATAACTTTAAAAGAAGATCATTTTAAGGAATCCAATTCAGTGTTGTTTAAATAGCACCAATTCATGACAACAGTTATCTGAAAACGTTTTGTATTACAAGGTAAGATCCCTGCTGCATTATAATGGATGGAATGAGTTTAAATGTAGTTTGTAAAAAGCATGGCTTGGTATTTAATAACCAAATGACTGAATATTTGGGACTGCATTTTGCCATCAGTATCTTACACTCTTATACTTCTACTTACTTGAAAAGAAGTGTGTGGATACAATTGTAAGATAACCCACTTGAAATCTGTGTCTCTCTATTGCAGGGTGGTTCAGCCTCCAACCTGAACATGAACCTGTATGCTACTAAGAAAACAGCAGCTGAAGGCATGCTGGACATCGCCTTGTTCCTGGCTAACATTACACACATGAAGACAGTCATTGAACAGGGTGCAGGCTACAGGTACAATATATGTACATATGAAGAAGGCAAAACCGTAACTGTTTACCTGTGAGCTGTTTCTCAATGATCACATTTATGTTTGCCAAAAATATTATCTATTCACTATCCTTTTGTTTGCATTGCATTTCCTTTTCGTTTCTAGGTATTACGCCGCTGTTCTGACGCTCATTTCCTTTTCCTTGGCTCTTCAGATAGTGGCTGGAATCCTGATCATCATAATCGGTAGGCATTATAGATTTAGGCTGGACATCTTCTGACTCAGAAATCCATCTTCCATGTTTTTAACCCATCATATTAACACACTAATTTACTGACACTTGTTTGTAGTCAAATACAGTTAGTGCAGGTTTAAAGGTAGTGGCTTTAGGTATAAAATCCATAAGCAATCTAATGCATTTTATATGCAAGAACTACAGAAACATGATGGTTCCCTGCACTTTATGCTCTCGTTTTGTTGCTATTTTTGGTATGTGTTTGTATATGTGCATTGCAGCCCGGCGAGACCTCAATGAAGAAGCCAACCAGAAGCGCCTGGACAGCCTGAACAACACCCTAACCATCACCATCTTCCTCGTCTTTGTCACCAACATCTTCATCACTGTCTTCGGGATGGAACGCACTGGCCTCTTTGCCAGGATGCATTTCTGACTGTGTAACGTAGGCAATGGTTCTAGTATGTACACCTGTTTAGAAAGTAAGAACAGATTCTGACCCACATAACTAGGTTGTGGTCACACAAGCACACAATCATAACACATACCAGTGTAACATATTGTCCAACTCACTAACTAATCAACTATATTACTATTGTATTGTTTAGTTCAGTATGGATGGATTGGGCCAGCGGACCAACTAGATGTGTGTGTCTGTCTCTGTTTTTTCTGTCTGCATGGTTGTGTTCTGGTTATCTGTGTGTGTGCAATGTATGTATGCATTTTCCATTTGTGTGTATGTGTGAGTGCAGCTCGACTGGAGCTGACCCGCCTCCCTTCTTGTCAGCGGTGCTTGAACTTCTTGAACAATCTAATTACCGGCATCATCTGCCTCACTTTCATTATCAACATTATTAAATCGGCCTTTGGGACACAGCGCAGCTGCTTGCTGCGATGGTTATTTCAGCGCTTTATTCTATGAGACAGATTAAGCAGACAAATGTATGTACATTGATAAACGTAAACATTTGATTAATGTTGCTGATGAAATGTTGAACTTTGCACACACCAAATTTGGCCACAAAGTAGTCCCCTTTAACATTCATTCATCCACAGCCACTGAACAAACAGCTATTACTGTAGCATAATAGCTGTTTGTTCAGTAGCTGTGGATGAATGAATGTTTTTAAAAGGTATACACACTTTACAGTCAAAGATTGCTTCAACATTCAGTCTTAGAGCTAAGTGGGAGCAAGCTCTCAGTCATGCCAGTAAAGTTAAGTTGATTTTTAAATATACTCATTAGCTTTCTTGCTAGCAGTGAGCAGCTTCTCTTCGAAGGAGCAGGGCTAACTTTTCCCTCCTGCGCAATCTTTGAGCTCTATCCTTGTTTACCATTATAAAACACACAGATTTATGGTATATATATTAAAATAAGCTGCTTGCACAGACTATATATAAAAGGTGGGTGTAAAAAACCTAAGTGACTTATTTGTTAGACAAAAATAAGTTGAGAAAGTGGAGCACTAAGATGCTAGCCAATGTGAGCAAGTTTGGCTAGCTAGCTGGTTCTGTAAGCCCAGTCTTTTTTTTACATTTTTCCTGTGATCAATAATTTCCTGATAGTCACGGACTGCTCTCTAAGACTATGTGACTGAGAGCTTATTCGTTCGACCCTACCTTGTCACACTTTCAAAATGGAGACAAATGACATCACATGGTTTGCTGTTAAGTTCAATGCAAAACCTCAGTAGAGCCCAAACGTTATTTTGTTACCAGGACGTACATTGGGCATTTTAACAAGGAAGTCTTACAGGACTGGTGTACTTTTTGACCTAGCGTCACAGTGCCAGTTTCTCCAATGGGCACAATACAGAGCTTGCTGATCAATCCAAACTTTGGTTTAATCCTGTTCAGTTTTTATGTTTTACAGTGAAATCTGAACCAGTCAAACTCACATAGACTACAAAGAGGATGGAGGGCAGCATGAGTGATGAGCCAACAATATTGCCGTTGTTTGGATTACTGAACGTTTGTATGTATGGGTTAACTGTGAGAGTGGTGGTTGTGTTTGAAATGTTTGAAATTGTGTGTTTGTGTGTCTGTCTGTGTGCATGTGTGTGCATGTTGCAGCCCGCAGGGACCTTAACGTGGTGTCCAATCAGAAACGACTCGACTACCTGAACAACGTTGCTACAGGCATCATCTTCGCCACCACAGTGATTAACTTCTTCATCAGCTTCTTCGGCTCCAAGAGGACCGGATTCTTCCGCTGGCTGTTGGCTCGACTCCACTTTTGAGACACACAAAACTATGAAAATATATCCAAGTCATGCACAGACCCACCAACATGCTTTGCAGCAGTATTTCATCTGTGCAGTAGCATGACACATTGGCCTAAGACAAAGTTGGAAAACAATCCCATGTGTTCAAACATTGCATCTTAATTCCTATTCAGACACTTGTCAAATTTCTCACACTGTAATCGAACTAAAATATTTTTAACTTTAACCAGCTGTCATTTAAACATGCATGGTTTTATTTGCTCCAATGACATGCTTGTGCAAATATTGTACTTTTTTATTGTAGATGTCTCTACTTTTTCTGTGCATTTTACATGTATTCTTCCCTTCTTTTATGTGCCTAATCGGTAAAAGTGTAAAGCTTGTTTTGATTTTAAATATACATCTTATTTTAAAACATCTTTGACATCAGAAAAATAGAAAAAAAAATATGAAATGGATAAATATCTTTGTGAATAAAAAGCTAAATAAAACGAGTGATTATAAAGAAAGCTATACTTGGCTTATTGTATTTTTACTGAACATTGTTATTTTGGGCCTGCATCTATACTATTCTTTTGGCAGATTAAAAATATATATAAGGCATTTTGGTCAAAAGAAATGTGTCATCATCTGGTCTCATGCCTGTTTTTCCTCTATTGTGTTTGTGTGCGTGTGTGTGCAACACAGGCCGTCGGAACCTGAACAATTCCACTCTACAAAAGCGTCTGGACTACCTGAACAACATAACCACCATTATAGTCTTCATCACCTCAGGCATCAATTTGTTCATCAGTACCTTTGCCATGAAGAGCACTGGATACTTCCCGTGGCTTATGATGCGCATTCACTGATATACACATGCACATGTGTAAACTATTGCACTTTTAGAGTTGCGCCACCATAAAAGCATGCTTGCAACAGCTTAAAATGTACGTTTGTTCATACCAGAGAGTTTTTCATGCAGGTTTTGGGCATTTCATGGGTAACTGACTGCGCACACATCCATTTTAACAGATTTGTATGCATTCCTTACATGTAACATGTATAGTCCCCAGTTTGTTGAGCTCTAACTCTAGCAGAACACACAAGACTCATTCTTCTTTGTCATGTTTCTAAACAGTGAAATCAAAATATGTGAAAACAATTTCCCTCTCAGTGACTTACACTAAAGATCACACTTTATTTGAATGCAATAAAAGCTCTAATTTACTGTTTGGGCTCTTTTTTTCCACAATGCCTTCATCTAATGGGGCCAGCTAGTGACCAGATGGGGGAAATGGACAAGGGAATATATTTCCAGATGTTATCAGATATGTAAAACAGGTTTATGGAGCTTTCTTAAGAAGATAATAAAGTCTGATTATATGTGTGCAATACTAGCACGGCAGGTGTTTCTTGGTTTTAGTAACTTTTTCCAGGAAAAGGTGACCGGAAGCTATCTTCTTCTTGCCCTTATTCTTCTTGTTTCAGTTCTTCCCTTTAGGAGCAGATCATCTGCTTCCATATTACCCTATGCCTTGCACACTCCTCTCTCTACTAGCGTTTTGCATCCCTTTCACCACATCTATGAATTTTCTCTATGGTATTCCTTTTTCTCCTGCCTGGCAGCTCCATGTTAAAGATCCTTTGCCTAATATAGCAAAGATATCTCCTCTGCACATTTCCAAACCATCTCTACCTTTTGTCCAGACCGCTCAACTTGAGCTGTCCCTCTGATATACTCATGTCTAATTTTGTCAACCCTGGTCACTCCCAAAGTGGCCATATATCTTCTACTCTGCTACCTCCAGCCCCACCTCCTGTCTTTTTGTAAATCCCATTGTCTCCAAACAATAGTTACCTTTCCCTCTTGCTGCTATCCTTCTGTCACAAATTACCCCAACAGTCATCACCATCCACTACACCCAGGTTGCTCTCATTTCTTCACCTCTTTTGTGCATTGTCCATTGCTTTGGTAGGTTGACCACAGGGTTTTAAACTCATCTATCATTCCCCAGAAATTAAATTATTTGCAAGACTCTCCAGAAGTTGGCTGCAGCTCAGCCGAGCTGGTAATGGACAGAAGATGAGATGAGAAAGTGAGACAGGAGGTGGTGGAAATGGGAGTAAAGTACGCAAAAAGGAGAACAACAGTAAGATGGTTCACTCCCAGAGAAGGCTGTTTAATTTACTGGCTATCAAAAGAAAATTGAAAGGGAGAATATGGACTGATTTTGAAATGGCCCAGATTCAGGTGAAGTCAGGTCAGAGGTGCTATTGCATCATTGTTATCTCCCTGTAAGGACTGTCCACCCTAATGGAGTCAACTTGCATGTAAGCCTGATTAATGATGTAAAAAGGTATTATCTCAGGAAAAAGCACAATGGTGCCAGCAACTCAAATGATTGAAAATGTTGTAGGAGTAATAAGGCAAAATGCCTCAAAGTCACCTCTGATGGTGAAAAATGACAATTGCTATCTAAAACTGCTTTCTAAAGTACCTGATATCTGAATTGCAAAACTTTGGGGGCACCTTTGCACTGTGCAAAGGCATCCAATGATGTCGTGGAGAACAGAAATGTGGAAAATGTGACAGAAGCAAGGCTCAAGTTGCTGGAACCACTGAGGGCAGTGCTCCTCATCGAGGTAAGAGAGCAGCCAGTAGAACTGTCAACGATACTCTTTACTTTTTTAGAATAAATAAAAAAACTGAAATTAGTTTTTGGCACCATAAGTCTGTAGCCTATAGATTAACAACCAATCTCAAAATACTTGATGATCAGTCAGGCTGACAGTTTGCACAGTGTGTGCAGTGTCTGATCATTTCAGTTTGTGATTTTCTACAGGAATTTTTTTTGCTGTTTCACTGTTTTAGTCAGTTCAAGTGTGAATCTGCAGTGACACCATCTTATAAACAATTATGTTGGTCAGTTCAACAAGAATGCCTCTTTCATTTGACTGTACCCGTGCTAGGCATCCGGCATAAAATCTTTATCTTTGCCAAATAAAGCAGATGAAGGTGGTCAACTTGGCTCTGGCAATTTTGGCAGGTGCTACCGTTATTGAAATCTTCCCCTTCTGAATATCATTTTTTAATGCTGTTAGTTACAATGTAAATGTAGTCATGCTTTAAAATGTTTGTTTTTTAAAACCAAAATCATCCTGTGATTTATCTGTCTGCATGACTTCAACGATCCTGTCTATACTCCATATGGACACAACTACAAGATTTGTATCACAGAGTTCTGACACAGCAGTGATGTGACAAGTCTTCCCTCTGCAATTATCCCACTAGACAGGAAAGCCGGGCTTGAGAATGTAACATCAGAAAGAAAAGAATTAGAATAGACTAAATCCAGGGATGTGTAGGCACAGCACTGGTTTATCCCTGGAGTTCGGTTTATTTTTTATGCTTGAGTTACTCGTATGTCAGTGTTAGCTTAACAAAGAAAAACAAAACACACAAAACACACACACACACACACACACAAAACCCTTCAACACAAGGACTGGACTGAAAAACATTTTAAAACTATTGCTCAAGACCACTTTTTAAAAATTCCTAAGAAAGTCTGGCTCTTTAGAAGTAAAATATAAAGAAATTAGGGGTTGTTATGCAAAAATAAATAAATAAACAATTTTCTTTTTTTTAAAAAAAACCCCTATTTCCTTCGGAGACTGCGCATTAACTGATGGATGATGAAATGGGAAATGAAACTACACGCCTAATGTGAAAAAGCTGCATTTTGTTTTAAACCTCAACGCTACATTTGGGCAGGTAAGCTTTGACATTTTTTTTATCTTGTGTAATTTCTCTTAAAACACTCCGCAAAGATAGTTGAAACGCCGACGTGATACGGTCAAAACTGGGCGAGGTACGACGGCAGAAATGTGAACCCATCCCCGGACTTTGACGTTGTTTCCACGTAGAGCTGAGCTCTTAGACGGTCTCTGATAAAGTTAGAAATATAGATTTCTTTTATGCTCGTCTTCTTTTTTTTTGGCAACTAGTATAGTTCGGTCATGGTTGTGAACAAACGTCCACACAACGTCGTCTTTTCGACGTACACAGCCTCGTGTTAGCGATGTGCCAAACGCTAATCCGCAAAGTCAGTCAACGTCGACAAATCTCAGGGTTTTGTGGTTGTGCTTTATGAATGTGTGTGTGTGTGTGTGTGTGCAATAAGTCACAAGCAGAACACTTTGCTAAAGCTAGTACGATAGGCAAAGAGCAGCAAACTTATTTTTTAAAAACTGTTTGTCTTTTAATAACATGTAACTTTGACTTTCCGGATCTCCACCATGGGATAAGTTCCGTATTTTGCCAGCATAGACTAGAATAGGTTGCTACTTGCCTTGATTTTGTTCTTAAAGTTTCAGTGGAGAAATAATGAATGTGCATATAAGCATATCTTACAACTTCCAACATCTTTGTTTACTGGTTTTGACTCTATTTCTATTTATGTCTTACACATCAAGCTCTTTTTTCTTCCATGAATAACCTGTT